CTTAAATCCAGTATCTTTCTTATTTATAACTTCATTCAAATAATTAATTCTTAATTTTTTTCTTTAATCAATACATTGTTTTCAATATTGATTTATAATCAATACTTTTTTTGATCTTCATTTTTAATCAAAGAATACTCGATTAATGATGTTTGACATGTACTTTTAGTTTAATTGAACACATTCTTCTCTCTATTTTTGCTTATACTATTTTAAATTGCAGAAAAAAAACATAAAAAAGGCGCTTTTTATCAATCATACATCATACAGAAACAGAAAAACAATATGCAATTTTTATAATAAACCTCAGGCAAAGGATAAATACGGGTCACAAAGAGCATCTTTTTATTGCAGTGCCTGATAAAACTAAAAGGAAATCGATAACTCTACCTTAATGGACTTAATCCTTATCTTAGTAATTTAAAGAATATTTGAAGATTAAAAATATTTTATTTTTAAGATGTAATTATATTTATAGTCTTTTCCTAGATGGCTTATTTTTCTAATATTTTGAGATACTTCTATAATTATGATTATTTGGCCTGTTTAATAAAATATATTTAAAAACATTTAATATGCAAATCACATTTTTATTTTCCTTAGATTCTTTATTTAAAACATTTTCTTTTTTTTACAAATTTTTAAGATAAAAAATAAAATAATTTTTTTATCTTGAAATTTAATATAAACTAATATTCTATTATGAAATTGATAAATAGTTATTAAGGGTTAAATTAAAAAACCCTAATTCAATAAATTATAATTTAAATTTAATCTAGATAGAGAAGACGTATTTATACGGTTTGATTTTAAACCCATCTTCCTGTAATAGCCATAGCGGCGAAACCTAATAAAACACAAAAAAGTGAATAAAGCAATTTTCCTAATTTTCCATTTCGAAGGTCTGTTTTAATAATAAAATCATTTGCAAGAAGATCTGCTATTCCTGAATATAATAATATTCCTGAAGAAAGAGAATTGAGAATTCCAGAAACAACTACGGCAGTAGATGACTGCAGATTATTCGCACCTTTAATTAAAAGACCAATGGCAATAGCAACGGGTGTTGATATAGCATAAATAATTGCAAAAAGAAAACTAATTACCATATTATTATAGTGAACGGCATCAAATATTCGAGCACCAAGACTAAGACCCTCAAAGATTTCTATAAACTTAGATAGTGTAATAATCTAAAGAAATTCTTACGATGGAAAATCAACGCAATATAAAGAGTTACAAATCTTTCTTTCCCCGTAGCTGCTACAGTAAGACCAATAATAACAGAGTGGAAAATAATTCCAAGTTCGAGCATAAATAATGTTATTAGATTTTCCCTCATAGTAGTTTTATCCAGAGTTTGTTTTTGAAAACCATCTTTTATATTATTTGATGAATCGTTTTGAACATCCGCAAGATCCTTATCATTATCAGGAGCATGCGTAGGAAATGTTGATGTAGAAGATGGATGTTTTTCAAAAAATTTCGGATTAATATATCTTAAAGAAAATAATTTCAATAAAAATATAATAAGTATTCCAGCCATAATTAGTAGTCCAGAAAAATCATATTCTCTCCATATTCCAACGAGACATGGAGAAAATCTTAAATTTTCAATAGCAGGTTCGAGTAACTAAAAATAAATTAGATAGATATATATTACTCAATTAATTACGTGAATAAGTGTTGTTCCAATAATAACACCGGCACCAAAATGCTTTACAAATAAATATAACAACCCCGATATTTTAAAAGGTTTTATCTTATATGAAAATAACGGGAAAAAAACGCCTAAGAATCAAAATAAAAGAATATTTTTTATAATCTCATATTTACCAACACATGAAAAAAATAAAACTACAAAAACCGATGATATTCTAAGAACTGAACTTGCTTCGTTAATTTCTTGAAATTCGCAAGCATGTGAAGCGTCGCCACCATGAGAATGTCCATGGGCTCCATGATATAGAATAAACCTGTCTTTCATTTTCTGTTTAATAATTTAATAAACAATATATATATATATTTACGTAATGGACAATAATACTTTATAGATTTTATATTATTTTAAAACTAAAAAGTTCTAAAATTTAAATATTTTATGGGAACTTGTTACTAAAATAATAAAATGTTCGTGAATATATATATATATATATATATATATATATATATATATATAAACAGATCACTAAATATTAATATTGTTTATATCACCTATATTGCCTTTATTTTTTTATTAAAAACTTTAAAGTATGTTCTAATATATTATATTTTTTTTTTCATGAATGATTATGAAATTTATTTAAAATAATCAAATTTCCGAAAAAGTTTTTAAAAATGTAAAATTAGAAATAAAAAGTTTATGAATTACTAAAATAAAGAATTAGTATAACTCTAATTGTAAATGTGTAAAATATATTTTAGTGTCGATATTTTAGTCCAGATTTTCATAATTTTCATTTTATAATATTTTATATTTGTAAAAAATTATGTTCGTTTTAGAACAGACTAATATTAAAGCTTTAAAAATTTAGAAATTATCAAATAGCTTTAAAAATTACAAAGAAAATTTTTGCTTATTATATTTAAGTATTATAATTAAGATTAGTTGCAGAAATTGCGAGAAAAAATATAACATAATAATAAAAATGCTAGAAAAATTTTAATATTAATTATATAATACATTTATTATTGTTTAAAAATATAAATAGAAATCATGTATCATAATAATAAATGAATTATTCACAAAAAATATTAGAAATATCTACATATTAAAATCAACAAGATTAAAGTGTAAAATAAATATGTTTTGTAAGAAACTATATAAGGTTTATGCTTATAGTTTACTGTTTGCCATAAAAAAAATATGCTAAAATGATAGCGGATTTGTATGTAAATATTTAAATATAATAGTTCATGAATTTGATTGTAATAAGTCATCATGAAATAAAAAGTAATAAATGTTTATTTAAAATGTGATTTGTAATAAAATTTTGCGATCGGTAAAAAACTGAGGTTAGGTAAAAGCATAGTAATAAATAATTTTGTAAACTTTTATAAAAATGAGTATCTTAATTTTAGTATATTATTCTATGATATTAACATGGATTCTCTAGGTCCTCAAATTACAAATCTTATGATAATTTTAGGCACAATGCAAATTTCAAAAAGAATAAATTTCGATGATCCCGAAGTTTTATTTTATATTAGATGTCTTTGCATTGCTTCAAATGTAATTATTGCGTTGGTTTATTATTTATGTTATATTTCTATCCGAAGAAAAAATGGTGGATTCTATTTTATTATTTTTAGTTTTTTAATTAACTGCAGATCTTACTACTTTAAAATATATTAAATCTTCTATGAGCGGTCAGTCTGAAGAACAACTTGTTGTAACTACAGTCAAAGAATATGATACTATTGAGTTGAAGAAGGCTATAAAGCAATCCTTTGTAGGAGTTTGTAAATTAAACTATATGTTTTTTCATAAATTAATTGATTTAAGGTATGATAGCAGTGATGCATTTATACTTTAAATTTTCTCAGCCTCTTCTTGTACAGTCTATTTTACCTCTTAAAACAGTGTTAGAAGGAAAGATTGTGCAACTACATCTGTGGAAAAAATCTGCGTCTGGAGAACTTAAAAGACCTTTTAAGAAACAACAAGGATTTTTTGGTGTTTCTATAGGAGATGATATTAAAACAGACAAGAAAAGTATTGAGCAGGCGGAGAAAGCTGGAGTTGGTGCAAAAGAAGAGTAAATTTTACAATAGTTGAATACAATTTGCATAATATTTATTGATGTAAATATTATGATTATATTAAAAAAAAGAAATATAATATATCCTAATATTGTAAAACATTTTTATATTAATACTTATTTTTTCATTTTTTCAGCTAAATCTACTGCTGTTTTAATGCTTCCTATCATAGCTGATAATTGAACCTTTTCAGATGCACCATTTGATAAACGATATCTGTTCTAATTAAAAATAGATAATGGTATGCATTTAATTTTACTCAATTGTAGCAAGACTATCTAGTATATGGCTTTGTACATTTACTGGTAGTTCAAGCTCGTCAAGAGTTTCATGTACTCTAGTTATTATATCTAATAATGCTAGTCCTCTTTCGGTTTTGAGTCTTGTAATAGCTAGTAATTATTAACAAATTCATAATTAAAAAAACAATATACTATTTAAGCAAGTTAAAAACTCGTCATTTAATATGCTTTTTACTATTAATTCAATGATTTCAGGATGGGGATTTCCAAGACAATTATATACTGCATCTTCATCGATAAAATCATAGGCTGCATGACATGCCTGTAAAATATTTAACCCTTTTCTCATATCTCCATGAGTAAGGTTTACTAAAGCAGTCTTTCCTTTTTCACTAATATTAATATTTTCTTTTTCAATAACATAATTAAGTCTAAAATGAATTTCCTTTGGAGCAAGAGGTTGGAACCTAAACCGGGTACAACGTGATTGAATTGCAGGAGAAATTTTGTTGACATAGTTACATATTATACAAAATCGTACATTTTTGGTATATTTTTCAATAACTTTACTTTTTAATAAGTTAATAAAAAAATTACACTACCTCTTCTCAGTGCATTTTGAGCAGCGAAAGTCATAGCATCTGCTTCATCAAGGATAATAAGCTTAAATCCTGAGCTATTTATATCAATTTTTTGCTTAAAAAAGTAAAAGTACAACTTAAATATTTGTTTTGTACTTGCAAAATTTTTGATTTGCTCTCTAACTACATCAATTCCCCTTTCATTAGAAGCATTTAGCTAAAATTTATTAATACTAAGATGTAATACATTATATTAAACCTCTAAAAGCTGATTTCGAAACTTTGGTCCATAAATCTTTTTAGCGCATGCTAAAATTGTAGATGTTTTTCCTGTTCCAGGAGGTCCATAAAATAGTAAATGAGGGATTCTATTTTTCTCAATGAATTTTTCGACTATTTAAAAATAAATCATAGCATATAAGGTATCTTTATAACTACTGGTAAGGATAATGTCTTGATGAGAAACAATTTCTTTTAGACTTTCCGGTCTATATTTTTCAACCCTATTTAAAATTAATTTTATAATGAATCCAAACCTTACAAACCATGGAAGTACGTCATCATTTTGTTTAATATTATATGTCATTGTTTCTTTACCTTTGCATGATTTGTTATTTTGAATTGAAAGTTCATCATCAACTATAGATTTATAATCAATATCCATATTTAAAATTCCTTAAATATATTTAAATTAAATATTGAAAAAATATTTTTAATGAAGGATAATTTATTTGCAAATTTAACTTTTTTTAGATGAAATTACTCGTAAATAATATAATTAATGATTTAATATCTTTTTAAAAAGTATAAAATTAAAAAAAAAAAAACATTAACTTAAACCATTTTAAAAATTAGATAATCCTAAATAAATACAACTTTAGAAAAAGAATGTGCTATGTTATAATATTATGTATGTAATAAAATCTAGATGAAATATTTAATATATTATATTAGTATTTCTTCGGTTTCGAATCCACAAGAACATTTTTTTATTGTCAATCCTGTAGAGGAATCTATAATAGGTAGTGAAAAATTATGTATATGTTTTGTTTGTTTTCTTCTAATTTTTTCAATATACTGTGTCGTTCTAGTATGTTTTTTAAGTTCTAATTTTTTAATATGTATATTTTAAAACTTTTTTATTATACCTTGAATTTTCTTCTGTAGTCTTTTATCTTTTCTCAATTTTTTTTCTTCAAGTCTTCGTTGCCATTCTTTATCTAATTTTTCAGGTCCACCCCACTTTTTCCATGCAAACTCTTCAACTTGGTAACGTAAAAAAAGCATCATTGTACTCCATTCTGGTTTTCGAGGGTTAGATTTTCGCATATGAGGAAGTATTTCTTTATCATGAAGCTCAGCTTACAAATTATTCAATATCGATCATAACAAAATTTTAAAACTTACAATTTGTAAGGAGATAGTCCTAAATTTATTAATATAAAACAATTATATAGTATGAACATACCTCTTTGCATTCAGTTTTTGTTAAAAGAGAGTATTTATCTGGCAAAGCCTTTTTACATTTATAACACACTCTCGCATTAAAAATCTCTAAAAATTTAAAGTCTAATTCAACGCTTTCACATTCTTTGCATTTAATATTTTTAGATTGGTCAAGACTAATAGCTAATATAGATAAATAGAATGAACTAAATACATTTTTTAATACATACCTGGCTCGAATATAATATCTTGTTTTATAACTTGATTAAATCTAGATTTCTGAGTCTCATTAAGGGGATCTTTATCAACAATATATCCTCCTTTATAATTCTTAATTTTTGATAAATCTATTGATATTTAGTCATAAATCTAATTAAATTGGTTTATTAATAAAAATACCATACTCTATGTAATTTCGCGACATTTTTGTGAACGCCTGATCATTTCTTCTTGATATTTGAGGTTTTTAATTTTTTTTTCTTTTATATAATTTTTGTCGTTTTAATAAAATTCTTCTGGCATTAACTTATTTGTTTCTTATAAAAATGTAAGAGATATAAGTGTTTTTTAATACTTTTAATAAAAAAGAACTATATATATAATTTCAAAATCAAACAGAGCTTTTTTAAATATGAATACATACCATACGCTTTATTTGTTCAGGCGTAATAAATGGTTAATTGAAGCATGTACAGTATTTGTCTGGGAAAAAACTTTCCCAATTATTTATAGTAATCATTGTTATTAATATTATAAGGAAATAATCTCAAGTATATAATCTTAAAAAAACTATTTTTTATAGATGTGATTTATAAGATTTAATTTTGATCGAAAAAATACATTCAGAAATCAAATTATTTTGATAATACAGGAATATAGGAAGAAATAGCTCTTTGCATTTATGGTAGCTTTTACTAATGAAGGGGATTTAGAGGTTATTATTGATGAGAAGAATTTAACAAAGGAAGTTATTCTACCAAATTCATCTATTTTCTTAAAGCTTCCATCTAATTTATTAAAATTTATTATTGTAAAACAAAACACGTAAGTATAACTGCTAGAATTTTGAGTTGCATTAGTGATATTGTAGAATAATAAATCTTGGCAAATTTGGTACGTTTTGTACTAACGATATTATTGGTCATCCATATGGATTTACTTATGAAATATGCAACCAAAAACTGAAAATTATGAAGAGCGATAGAATTCATGAAATTGGTGACTTAGTAGTTTTCTATAGTTTTTTCTAATGATTTCTAGAGGATGAAATAGCAAATAATAGAGAAATAATGGATGATTCTTTTAATCAGCTACTTACTTATGATGAAATAATGCTTTTAAAACAAGACAAAGATTTAAGTGGACAAGTATGAATAAATAACGTTTTCTTATTTTTATTGAATACTAATAGGATATTGTAAATAAAATTGTTTTTTCACATAAAACATATAATCAAAAAACCGAATATGCAAAAGATAAATATATACGTAAAAAAATCCAAAAATATCAAAAAGGATTTACTACTGTATTTCCAACAATATGGGAAATTTCTGAATATATATTAATGAAAGATTTTTCAAAAATAATGGATTTACGGGCAGAAATAATAGCATATATTTTAAATTTAGGCAATGTTCAGCCTGGAAGGAAATATATTGTCGTAGATGAAACTTCTGGTTTATTAGTAGCTTCAATATTGGAGAGGATGGATTGTATTGGCCAGATTATGTATATTCATACTAATGAGCATCCAAATCTGGATAATTGTAAATATTTTGGACAAGATTATGTTCCTGATAAACTCATTGAGAAAGACGTTTTGTTAACTTTAAATTGGTTAAATGTTATAAATCGTAATAAGGAAATTGAATTTGAAGATAAAGATATAAATACAATGAAAACAAAGCATATTGAAAAATATTTAAGAAAAAAAAAAGTACATGAACGGCTTAAGCGTAATATCCAATTGCTTAATAAGGGGGAATTCGATGGGTATATTTTTTATTTATAAATTCAAATTTAAATTCTTTAGACTTTTTATTGCTTCAACATATGATCCATCAAGTATATTATCACATCTCATTCCTTTTGTTGCTGGCTCTTGTTCTATTATTATATATTCACCTTATCGTGAAATACTTGTGGCTACTTCTCATTATATTTCTTCACGCAATACACATGATATTCTTGCTCCTATAATTTCTGAAATCAGGCATCGTCAATATCAAACCTTAAGTAACAGAACTCATCCGCTTATGATTTCAAGGTCTTTCATGGGATATGTTTTATCTACAATAAAGGTTCTTCCATGTCTTAAAAATCTTAGGCCTTTAGGGAAAAAATAATATAATATATATGTATATAATGAGTATAATTAAAATAATATAATAGGGTTTTATCCTACTTTTTTTAAAAAATCGTTAAACGTGACGTTTAAAGCTTTCAAAAAAAATGACAAAAAGAACAAAAAAGGCAGGCTTTTTTATATAAATTATATGCAAAGAAAGGTGTTTTCTGACATATAGAATAGGTTGGTGTTACAGGAAAATATGGACCTCGATATGGGTCATCACTGCGAAAGGATATTAAAAAAATGGAAATTCAACAACATGCTAAATATATTTGTACTTTTTGTGGAAAAAAGAGTGTAAAAAGGAAGTGTGTCGGTATATGGAGGTGTTTAAGATGTACCAGAGTAGTTGCTGGAGGGGCATGGACAGTTTCGTAAGTGTTTTTTTTAAATAAAATACGTAGCATTTATAAATTTACAGAACTACTGCTGCTGCTAGTGTTAGATCAACTATTCGAAGATTGCGTGAAATGGCTGAAATCTAGATTTCCTATTTTTTATTATAAGAAATAGGTAGCGCATCTTACTGCTTTAAAAGTATTGCGCTTTATTATAAGTATGATTAGGATCTTAAAACATACTTTATTTAGATATGATGTATTGATTGTTGATATTTATTACTGTTAAAAACTTCAGTTTGTTAACAAATTAAATAATATATTAATAAAAATATTATTATTTCGGCTTTTTACTTTGATTTGTCTTTTTTGTTTGCTTTTCTAGGTTTAATTCCTTTTTTTTTAAGTAATCTGATTCTGCTTCTTTCAATTAATTTGTCGTCAAGTTCATCAAATTTAATATCATCGTCTAATTTTTGCGGAATTGTTTTATCATGATTAATTATGTTTTCATCTAAATTTTGCGGTAATTTGTTGCTTATTTTTTTGAGCTTAGCTATAAAGAAACTATATACTATTAACACTTAGAGATAATTATTGATATTTCTTTACCCGTCTAAGTTATGAACGTGAGGATAATATCTTTTACATAAATTCATTTTAGGATTAAACACTTTATCTCTAAAACGTGTAAAACCGTCCATTCCAAAACTTAAGCCAGTATCAACTAGCTTTGTATTTGGCCTTTTTTTTAAAGCATAATCAATAACCATTTCATTTTCATCAATAGTTACAGAACATGTCGAATAAACAATATAACCACCTGTTTTACTATTTGCATCTACTGAATCAATTGCTGATAAAATAAGTTGGCGTTGAAGATGGGAAAGAATATCAAAATCTTTTTCCGTCTTAAGAAATTAGATTTAGATTTTTGTAATAAAAATAAAAATACTTTCTTTATTTTAATACTTTGATCTTTTGAAATTATACCTGTTCCACTGCATGGAGAATCCAATAAAACCCTATCAAATCCTCCCATAACTTTCGGGAAATCCCTTCCATCATGTCTACATACTATTGTATTTTTAACTCCGAGGCGATGAATATTTGCTACAAGGCTTTTTATTCTATCTTTAGACAAGTCGTTAGCAAATATTACTCCTGTGTTTTTTTGTAAAGCGGCAATATGTGTTGTTTTTCCACCAGGTGCAGCGGACATGTCAAGGATTCGTTCATTAACTTGTGGAGATAATGCTATAATAGGAAGAAAGGATGAAGCTGCCTGAATTGCGTATTTTCCTGAAAGATACTCCGGCGTTGCTCCTAAAAATAAATATGAAATGGTTATAATTTTCTTATAAGATAATACCTATAGGAACTTGGCTTTCAAATATTTGTATACCAACTTTTGTCCATTTCTCAATAGGCTCCAAATTAACACCTCTATTCATCAATGCATTTATAAGATCTCGTCTGGTAGTTTTCAATGTATTAGTTCTAATAGTAATAGGTCGTGGAACTTCATTTGCTTCAAAAAATTCAAAAGCCTAGAAATTAATGATTTATTATTAT